ACAACAACAATAATACCTTAATTACAAAGAAGACATAGTTTAATTACACTGAATTTATTAAATATATTTATAAATACATATCTACATTCAAGAAACTAATTTATTTTAATTTGCTCAGGCTTTGAGGAAAGGATCGAAGATTGTCACAGGCAAAACCATTCCAGTCCCTAATAGTGTGATTTGTGAATGAATATTTCCCAATGTCCGTTTTCTGAATTCTTATCTGAATTTTGTGCATGTGATCCGCTCTGCCGAAATATGTAGTTTCCTGACTCCCATACCCCTTTATTCTTGGTACCCCTGAAAGTAAATTTTGATGCTCTACGCTGGACCTTTTATAGATTTCTTTTAGATAAATGTATTGGTTTAGTTAAATACACAAATGTTTGTGATAGAGAAAAACTATTCTAATTTCAGACAAATTATTAGCGCACAGGAATTCATTAATTATTCTAGCTACATGTGGAATTGCAGAAAAATACATAAAAAGACTTTTGCCATTGAATTCTTTAAGTATCTTATCAAATTTCACATTATCAGGGTTCTCATAGGTTTTAAAATAATTTCTCAATGAAACTCAATTTATTTTACCCTACAATAATTTATACATGAAAATTACTTAATTAGCTTTGTCTATAGACTTCAAAGAAGGTACTTTCAGTAAATTAGAAATATCTGAATAGTCATTTGAGTATCTCAGATTAATTTGTTTTAGAAGCTGCTTACACAAAAAAGATATGATGAATGTGTTCAAGTTTTTTTTATTATTTAAACTAGTATAAGGTGACCAAACTACGTAGGAAAATATCAATTTGTGTTTTGACAAAAAAATTATAAAGCAAACAAATAGTTTTAATAAGTTTAAATTTGGAAGTGTATCTCCTCATAAAACCAAATATCTTCAAAGAGTTATTTACAACATAGTTTACATGATAACCATAAGTTAGTTAATTGCAATAATGACCTTTGTTAACAAGATTTACCCTTCAATATCAGTACATGAGACAAATTCGAAAAGAAATTGTGATGTATATGGCAATAATTAAATAATAATAGTAAAAAATTATTATCTCAAATGGGATTTAAACATTATCACTGAATACTGTTTCACCGCCAGCTCCAGACCATTTTTCAATTTATTTAGTCATCAGAAAAATGTCAACGGCTAAAGGATGAATATTTGCACTCGTTTGATTGATGTTGAAGTTGTCCTTTTCTCCCATGCTAGTTCTACAGCGCTTTAACAGCAAATCGAGAATGGTTCCTCGAGTGAAGTTTAGGCATTTAGACGCATTCAAAAGCATGTTGTTACAATGAAAACAATTCAGGTTACACAGTAAAAGATAGGCATCCTCATTCTTACACACCTGCCTAAAAATCTTTGCATCATATGCATAAAGTGGAATATTACAACACTCCAAAAGCCTATCGTACATCGTTAATAAAGTATTAATGAGAAGTGAACCAAGATAATACCCCTGCAGAACTCCAGATGGTATTTCAAATTGAAGATGAATGGCTACGAATCTGTACATACTACTTCCAGTGCTTTTGGTAGATCTCAAGCAACTGAAGTAAAGAACCACGAAAACCAATCAAAAGAGAGTTACTCACAAGTAAAACACTGTTCACGTGATTGAAGGCTTTTAGCAGCAGTCCTTGAAGATGTCAAATTGTCCACCTGCTGCTACATATCAATCACATGTCTATTAAAAACTACAGTTAGTTGAAGTAAATCTTCTCTTGATAAAACCATGTTGAGACCGACCTATCAAACTGCTAAGCAATGCTGAAATAACCATTGTAAGCATGTTTTCAAACAGCTTGAAGATACCACTCAGTATTGTTATTGGTCTATTCTCTACAATCTCGAATTTGCTACCACTTTTATGAACAGGGAGTATTTTGCCAATTTTCCAACTCT